TTTATAATACATTTTGATTTTCAAATGCCATGCAAAGATATCAATCTCATACCTTGTTTTTGGAAATTATTTGAGTCTGTGTCTCAATTCAATAGCGACATATTTTCGCGGTCTTATACCTTGATATACCAAAAACGTTGTCTGATTTGTCATTTTACCGATCATGACATTTTCACACTGGGTGTGGATTCTTTATTTATGCCATTTTAACTTTATTTGAATCGAGTGTCAGTGATACATGTGATAGGTCTTTTGTAGACGAGACGTGCGTTTTACTTACACAATTCTACTCCTGGTATCTATAATGAGCTTAATGAGTGGTGAAAGCATAGGAGACGCTTACCATGTTCATGCAGATGCTCCTTCTCATATTGGGGTTCATGCGATTCCCTCAGATTTTGTTTATTACCTTAATTTGTATCTTCCTAATCTATTTACGAGATTTGAATAACAATAAACTACTGTAAACTGATCCAAAACATATGATATGAATAAGGAGATTTTGTACTGTTGCTAATAAGACAACTTTTCAAGAGAGTACAAATGACGTTGGTTTAAGCAATTATAGGTTACCGTACGAGTTCCTCCGGGGTTTTTATGTGAGGTTCGTGTTGCCTTAACTTCTGATATATCTGATTTATTATTGATGTTTATCTATTCATCGTTTTTCTTTTCTGGCCATGGTGTATTCAACTTATGATTTTTATTGTATAGTTAGTATTTTTCACCTTTTTGTTAAACCTCTTACAAAATGTCATTCTGTTGTGTAGTACTTGGTAAATGTGTGACGAAAATATTTGTTGGACGATCTGATGAACAAAAAGATAAATGAAAGGACGAACACGATGATTGAAATATAGCCCCCGTTACAAGTTTGGAATATAAAAACTCAAAGAGTGAACTCTGGTGCACCATAGTATACAAACGGTTCCTGCGACACTATTCATACTGTAAGGTACCTTATCCCTTTTCCGTAGAAAATTAAAAACATTTTTGAAGAGACTCTCGACGACGCAAACATGTAGTATGGTTCAACCGGTCTTCTGAATTTTTTTCGATATCGATCAGTGAAACAAAAAAAAGGATTCATAACAGAACGTATCAGTATCGTTAAACATTTTACCTCAATCAGATTTGTTTATTTGTGCAAATCTTTACGTATTGTTAAGTTTATACCCGGAACCAATTTTTTATACAATTATTTTAGGTCTGATAACTAAATGTCTATGTACAGAAAAACGTCACTTTAAAAGAACATTTTAATTAAGATGTAGAGATATTAATTGAATGACTGAATAGTTTTAATTTGAAAACAAAAATTTACACGAAATAATAGGTTTTTATTTGATGTCTTTGTGTTTCATATGGCATGTCTGCATTTGTACAAATTAGCTGACATGTGCATTTTGCAATATTTTTAATATCCAAATAAAGTTTTTTAAGCGGATGTCTATATATAATCAACACTCTTTAAAATGAATTATTTTTCGTTCCATTTTACAGTTTTAAATACTAACACAGAGATGCTTATCTTTCGACTCTCTTGCAGTTCATGAGTTTCCCTCAGCTTTGCTTTTTTTTTTCTCTTTAATTTGTATGTTCATATAGATTTATGAGGTTTGAACAAAAGTAAACTACTATTGCCTCGAATTTACACAAGAATGTGGAATTTTATGCGACTGTCATACAAGTGAAAGGATTAGCTAGCTATAAAACCAGGTTTAATCCACCATTTTCCACATAAGGAAATGCCTGTACTAAGTCAGGAATTTGACAGTTGTTATCCATTCGTTTGATGTGTTTGAGTTTTTGACTTTACCATTTGCTTAGGGACTTTCCGTTTCGAATTTTCCTCGGAGTTCGGTCTTTTTGTTATTTTACTTCTTATAATACATTGCACACCTTTAAACATAGCAAATGTTGCAGTGCATTGGTTGTTATAGTTTATAGTACATCAAAAGACTAGTTACTTTCACTCATATAATTTTTATCCCATTCGCATATGTCAGTTCAACGTCATGACACTGTTACACTTTAAAGGCGTCCTAGTTGTTTGTTTGTAATTGTTTTTGTCCACTGAATTAATATGAACTTCTGGGTGACCAGTTGTGTGTTAGATGGATTCACGTGACTTGACTGCTATTAATTATACTTTGTGGTGTTTTCTTGCATCGTTAGACTTTTCATAATTCTTACTTTTATCCACGTGAAATCCGTCTACTAATGAATATATCTTTTTTATCACCCCACTTGTATTCTTCTTTTTTTTAACCTTAATGACTATATTGTTTGATTTGTGTATTTTAAACAAGTTTTTGTTGTATTTAAGTTCGTCTTTATTCATTGTGATTTATTTGGTTTTCTTACATGTTGTTCAACAGTTTTTGTTTTGCCATCTTGTTTATATGTTTTTCATGTCAAAAGACAGTCTCGAGATCAAAAGTATGAATGATTTTTTCGTAAAACAATACCAGGACAACAAGATATATTTATCATCAAGTTTTTCATTTAAATTTATGTTGAAGTCGACTAAATACTAGGATCTATGACAATTGCAATGATTAGATATAAGAAGATGTGGTATGAGTGCCAATGAGACAACTCTCCATCCAAGTCACAATTGGTAAAAGTAAACCATTAAAGGTCAAAATAAGACCTTCAACACGGAGCCTTGCCTCACACCGAACAGCAAGCTATAAAGGGCCCCAAAAATGAGGTTTTTCTATTGTTATCTACTTATTTTAAGTTCAAAATATGTTTATTCCACTAAAATGTATACTCTTATCTTTTAAACTAATTCAGATCAATCATGAGGAAATATGACTGAAAATATAACTTTGCAAAGTTTACGGTTGTTACAAGGAAACCTGATCAACTATCATGTGTATTGTGTACAATACATTTAAAACAATTATAGCAATATATATATCATCTAGTCAATTCTGTCTTGCGTGTAAACAACGATATTATAACATTAATTTGTTAAATATACAATGGGTATGTAAGGGACTACAATAACAACATGTTATCATTTTGATTTTTAATTATATACCTACCAAATCTTACTTTTCAAGCAAGTTTAACACGAAATTTGAACTATTTAAGAAGTCTTTAGAAAGCATACAGACAAATACAATAAGGTAACAAAGAAATGCTGTTCGAAGTTTGTATTTTCATTTTAGTATAGGTACTTCGGTATATACACACTTTTAAAGACTGTCTTTACGATTTAACTGTTTGTCTACTCACATGTATACATGTGAGATTTGTTTTCTTACATTTTGAGCGTGCCATTTTCAGCAATGCCACAAGGATTTCTAAAATTTAAAGGTAGCTAATACCAGGGTATCAACGCTAAAGATTACAAAGGAGGACATTGCATAGATATCAGAAGTAATATAACGATAATATAATATAGATGTTGATGTAAGAAACAGACTCGTATACCGACACCATAAGATTTTAAGAGCTAACCGGGTAATTTTGAATGTTCTCTCCGAACTCTAAGAACTGCTGACAAGTCGGTATTATCCGTTATGGTTAATCCCTCATGTAGCAATAGTTGTGAACAAATAATGTTTTAGACTGGAACCCCACTCATTTTCGCAATGATATTCATGATTTGCGTAACAAGAGGCAGATGAATATTTAAATGTTACCGTACGAAAAACGATATATGAAGGAACTTTAGAAGGAAGGCACAAGAGTTAATTCTGAATGGACTAGTTTACAAGAGTAAATGCTGAATGGACTAGTTCAAGCCCGGCAGGGAGAGATTAATTATTGTTTTAAGAAACATATTTGAATTGTATGACTGTTCTATGGTGTTTTCTTTTCCTGAACATCTTTTTTGGTTGTACACGTGGAGTGAGAAATCAGGAAAAAGTCGCTTATTTTAAGGGTTTAATGAACCGCCTTACCTCACCGCTGAAAATCCACATAAGAATAGAGTAATCATCATACTATCAGTTTAACCTGTCCTAGAGTTGTCTTACATGTCCCATGTTGTAGATTTTTGTAAAACTGCGATGTAGTGTGACTTTCCGATTTTTTTCTGTTTTTCATCCAGATGATGATTTCAAAGATATTTTGCTATAATATGAAACCACAATGTGTCAGTGAACTTTAAATCATACGATAGCACATATTGAATCAATTGGGCGACTTTCGAATGCATGTGCCATTTTTTTTTTTTTATATTTCAACGTCTGACAAAGGGTATTTTATTTCTTTCATTTTGTATCTGTAGTACATTTTCACAACATATAACAGAAAAACCAAAGTTCTTAATGTTTTATACAGCAAATTTAACTTTTACAAACCTTATAGAAATACTCATCTTATCTCAGTTTAATCGTGTATTTTCTATCTAAATTATCAATGTTGCGTTCCCTTATCATATCTTGCCCGACTCATGATTTGCATTGTTGTTGACAAAATGATTTAAATATAGGTGTGTCTTGATTTTTGTAAATATGGATATACTAGTGCGTCAACTTTGGAGTCCTTATGTTTGACTTTGAATAGAACATTTGTTAATTTTAGTAGCCTTTGAAGTATTTTATTCTAGAGTTTTACGCAGAAATTAATTCTATTCCACATCGGAACAGAACCGAATTAATACTGAAAATGTAAAGCTTTTCTATTAAATTTGCTCACTCAGTGCCAAAACATAGTATAATAAAATGACATGGCGAAATTTGCAAAATTTCTGTCACTTACAAAGTGTCAAAGGCAATAGAAAAGACGAATAATACACTTTTTGATACAGTAGATGTGCGACAAGATAGTGTTTATTGTCGTGTTTATGACGAATTCGATTCAATCCCCATTGATAATTTCAAGGAAAAGGCACTACCTGATACTGATACGTCACTCTATGAGGAAAATGTTACTTTTCAATGGCTAACAGAAAGTCAATACGATGATTAGTTTGTGAAAAAGAAATAAGTTTTTGATGTTGTTCTTGCTAATTAAATACGTTTGTTCCATTTTTTCAGAATAAATTGATAGCAAGTATACAACTGATAAACTGCAAGTGCAAGTTAGAGAATCATTAAAGAGAATGCAATGTGGTTCAGATTTAAAGAAGACATTGGGAATCAAATATGATTTTTAGTATCCCAGTTGGTTTTTCCGATGTTATTCGCGCAAATGTAACCGGAAGACTGGCTACCGGAATTACAATGATAACGAGATATATATGCAACACGAACGGTTGCAGAGGTTGGTGATGCAAACGATAGACAATGATTTTAACCCAGTCACTTACCTGAGAACACTCGCTTTAACACCACCGATAGAATTTGACACAAGTCCTTTGCGTAGTACACAATTTTATGATTTTAGGATGGAATACATGTCATTTTACAAATAGGGCGGATGTTGTCAGTACGACTGCCTGACTCTCACTGAAGTCAAAACATCAGAAAAACATACTTAAGAATTTTGCTAGGTTATATTTTATATTAGAAACGAGATTATCGAATGATTATGAAAAACATACAATTAACACTTAAAGGGTAAACAAAAAAATATAATTGATTACGGATTAAAGATATATGTCTATACTAAATAACTCTTACATAATGAATAGAAATAATTTGACAATAAGAATGCTTATGATTAGATTATATGTAATAAAACGTTTTAAATATATTCTTATCCAATTTGAAAGTGAATACAATTAAATTGACAGACAAAACTGCAATTCAAATAATTTCGATAAAACAACAATTCATTTAACATATAGTAATGGCAATTTATTTATCAGTGAAAGTCCAGAAACGTCTGAATTAAGAAAAATACCCTTTTTAAACAATTCCAAATAAAGATGCAACATTTTTACAAATTCAGCACTATCACGCATACATCTGAAAGCGTGAAATTGTCAGATATGGAAACAAGTTTTTTTAGTCACCCATACCTCAAAATGATCGGATCCTTCATTGTACAACACAAAATTTGAGAACCACTAAACATTAGTTCGACTAAGAGTTTTGAAGGTCCCCTTGATATATCCTGTTCTTTTCCGAAATTTTAAATGATTACAATCCTCTACCTTTATTTTGCCGGGACTGTCATTGACTGTACTCAGTTATTTAGTACACAGGATTTAAAAGTCCAATTATCTTTTGACTTTTTATTGGACATTGTTGGGCAATATTGGGCAAGTGCATAGGAAAAAGATTGGTAGAAAATCTTGTAAATATTTTTCTTTTTCTTTTTTGTCTTTTTTTGTTTTGTTATTTACTGTTCAATATATATAAGAAGATGTGTTACGAGTGCCAATGAGACAACTTTCCATCCAAGTCACACTTTGTAAAAGTAAACTATTATCAGGTCAATCAAGACTGTCATGTAGGAGACCAGGGATGGGCACGATTACTGACAAATGTAATCGATTTATAATCGATTACTTGACGGATTTTTGTGTAATCGATTAATAATCGATTACTCTGATTTTTGTATGTAATCGATTGCAATCGATTACTTTAGCAAAAGTAATTACATTACTTTTCGATTACTGTCAATTACATGCTACAAAATTACAAATTAAATAAATTAAGTTAAACACAAAGTCAATTATGTTGTTCAATGTATGTATAGTGGAAATTTTGAACTTTACAAAAATAGCATTTAAAGCATTATTTCCAAATTTTATGTTGACAGTTGTTTTCTAGATGGGAGCTCTTACTGTTTAAGGATCCGAAATATTCAAAAATTCTAGAAATTTTGGTTTTCAATATGAATGATTGGTGATAAAGTTCTTGCAATGGCATCACATTGCATCAATCACTTCTTTATATTTAAGGTTATTATCTCCATATTTTTGCAAAATTTTGCTGTCATACTGACTAAAGTTAAGTTTTTTGTTTTTACTCATTATTAACAGCTATATTTGAATATAGTTCATTACAATGTTGAAAGTTTACTCTGAAAGAAAAACTTTAAAAAGTAGAATAATTAATTAGTTCAGCTAATTTTAGAGATGAAAATTTATGATTTGTAATTACATGCATGAATTAATCCTTTTGTTTTGACAACCTCCCTAATTACAGGCTATAATACTGCCAATGGAGTACAATTATAACCTGGGGCAAAATAATGTAAATCTCCTCTTAATTAGACATAATTGAAATCAAAACAAAGTCTTCATCTTATTGATTAGAAGTCTTTGTTCATCTGATTAGTAAAGACAAGAAGTTTGTTGAGAATTTTGTATTCTCATTTCAAAATTATAAACAATTTATATTTTTTGTGCAAAAAATTGGATACATGTATCTCTATTTCTGAACAAGAATTTTAATGCATAGCCATTGGTTCATTGTCAAAAGGATTTCGTGTCCTTTGTAATTGTTATGTCATAACATTATAATGAATCAAATGTTTATCTATTCTAAGCTAAAATTCCAACTATTATTGAAAATTATGCTTTAAGGAATTTTAATACAAATGAGCTTACTACTGCAATATAGTACAGATTTTAACTTAAGACTTATTTCTTATTTAAATCTATTTTCTTATTTTTATATAAAAGGTCTTAAATTATTGACCAGCAAGAAAAGTCATTTGTTTCAAAAGCTAGATATACAGTTTAATTTGATAGATCTGGTTGAAGCAGCTGGAGCCAATAGATAGAAACACGGCATTTGATAAACTCCCAAGTCATATCAATACATTTTATTTTTATCTGTACTATAAAGTGATGAATACATACATACTTTCATATAAAATAGATTATATTTCATCAAGCTATTTTACCAAAGAAATCGAAATGTAATCGAAAAGTAATCGATGATTACATCATAATTTTTGCTGTAATCGATTAAATTACGATTACATGTAATCGAAAATATGTTCGATTACAGATTACTGTCGATTACTGGAAAAAATGTAATCAATTACAATCGATTACGATTACAGATTACGATTACCCCATCCCTGTAGGAGACACTACTTTAAATCAGTGTTGACCGTTCATAGATTTTATTTAGCTATACATTGCTTTTAATATCAAATCTACATATTGGCAAACGTGCTATGATTGCTTCCTGTATATAATATGTACATTCCTGAAAATAAATTTTGTGCATGTGCAACGTTTCATTGGAGGATTTCCTTTCAACATTTTAACTTTGAAATAACTTCTATGTGAATAGATTAACATTTTAAAAATAATCTGTTAAGGGAACACAGCTAGCTGAGTGTGCTCAAACGCTGGAGAGATTTACGTAAAGAAGCAAAATTAATTAGTATAAAAGAGGGACGAAAGATACCAGAGGGACAGTCAAACTCAATAATAAACTCAATATAATCTATTCAAACTAGTTTAATTTCATTACCACCTTACATAGTTTATTACTATTGCTCATGTAATATAAATAAATATTCAAATAAATCTTATTGATTTAAGCATTGTTCAAAGTGGTAGAAATACAGGAAACCTGCTGATTAAAAAATCAAATTAATAACTTAATCAGACTTAGAAAGGGCTTAAATATCAGACATAACATCTTTTTGGACACGTTTTATCCAGCACACATAATGGATGGCATTGACACTAAGCGGAAATGGTAAAAAAAAATGAAATTAAAAAAATAATTCATTATAAAGAAATATGATGAGCAAGGAGACAATATTGGCAGACAAGCATTAAAAGACATGAACGAACAGAAAACAACAAAACGAGTAGGAAACGCATTTTCTGCATCGCATGCCATAAGTCATATATTCACGTGGTCATAGCAAATATTCGAAATTCGTAAAATCACGTGCAACACTTCTGATTTTTCATTGATGGCTGCCTAATTTTCGAGGTCAAATAAAACATACAAGTAAAAGACATAAATATATATATACATATACCCTATTTTCTACTTTATCTACAAGCTGAGTATGATTTTAACGTGTTTGCTCACAGGTAAACATTCCGTAGAAAGACCTGTTACTCACCCACACATTTCTCTGAGACGACCAATCATTGGTTTTTCTCCTTATTGCCAACCGCTATGCACAGGAGTACCAAATATCAATTTTAATCTTTGGTTTTATCCTTTTGGAAATTCGGCCCAAGACCTTCTGCTCGTAACTAAAGGCAAACGTGCAATCATGAGTCTAGCAAAGCGGTTGAAACACTCGGGAATATATGTCTACCGTTATTTGTAAAACACTAACCTCAAAACGATTGACAAATTATAAAGACCGACCATAAAACTTTTGAAGTGATCGATACTATCAGTTGCGATTGAATATATACGGACAATGCAAATTATGTGAGTCACTTTAACCAATAAATGATGTAGATGTAGATGATATGAGAGGTAATACAACTAAAGTAAAATTTAGTTTTTGGAAACTATATTCATCAAGTTTGTCATTAAATAATATGTTTTAAAACGCCATTGATTTCTATTGTTTAATAGAAGCAGGTTAGAGAAAGAAGCAGCACTCTTGTTTCCGTAAAGTCCATAATGTCTAACCCACTTTTTAAACTAAATTATTGAGTTCATGCCTAACTGATCGATTGTTGTAATGTTCGCACAGTCGTTTCTATTAATATATGGTGTATTAAACATGTTAAATTACTGTAAATATGTAGATACACATTGTACTACTAGGCACCGACAATTCACATTTTGTCTGGGGCTGGAGTTCTCATCTTGGCTCGTACAAGGTTTTTCGTTTTTAATCAATAAAAGCCAGTAACAATATATTCTTAAATAACATTATAATTTATTTTGACACTCAATGTTGAATATGTATATTTTTTCGTAATTTTCAATGGAAATAAACAACTTTTTTATTCTCTTCTGAATCAAATCATTTTTTATTAGAATCAAGCCATTTATTTTAATAAAAAAGCCTATACCTCCTCCCCATACATAGCATGGTTGTTGCCTTACCATATATACATCAAATTCAGCATAGTTTATGATTAAATATCCATCAGACATCATATCGAGACGTCTAACATATATTTGATGAGGATAGATCAAAGAAATCCCAAATATTGCAAATGTCTTCAAAGGCATTTTGCAAATGACGAAAATTTTATCAATGTTTTGAAGTTGAAGGTATTATCATAAAATAAAACATTTTAAATACACATGTCCGTATATTGTTAAACACATTCGAAACGATAAGGTATTTTACCCTCAGCATCGAAGGTCTTATCTAGTTTTAGAATTTTGGTTTTCAATGCTCTTCTTTCTTTATTTGGTTTTCAAACTGATTTGGTTCTAGAGCCACAGATAAGTCTTATGAGTCTTACAAACCGCGCGACTGGTGTACTACATTATAAGTCTAGTACGTACCTTGGTTTTTGTCGAGCCTTCGACTTTAGTCGAAAAAGCGAGACATAGCGATCCTACATTCCGTCGGCGTCGTCGTCGTCGGCGGCGTCCACAAATATTCACTCTGTGGTTAAAGTTTTTGAAATTTTAATAACTTTCTTAAGCTATCCTGGATTTCTACCAAACTTGGACAGAAGCTTGTTTATGATCATAAGATAGTATCCAGAAGTAAATATTGTAAAAATAAAATTCCATTTTTTCCGTATTTTACTTATAAATGGACTTAGTTTTTCTGCTGGGAAATATTACATTCACTCTGTGGTTAAAGTTTTTAAAATTTTAATAACTTTCTTAAACTATCCT